ATCGCCATATCGGATTACCTTGACATCTCCACTGCGGTGGACGTGTCTCTCTTCGCGACATCTCGGTATTGCACATACTGAGTATTATCGCCGACAAAACCTACTGTTGAGATCACGACTCCGCGCGAGTCGTCCTTATCATCAAGGACTCCGTCGCTGCCTGGGACGCAGCATATCCATGCGAGCCCAGCTCGCCTTCACATCCGCACAGGACTTGGTCGCTGCCAGGGACGCAGCATATACACGCGAGCCCAGCTCGCCTTCACGTCCGCACAGGACTTAGTCGCTGCCAGGGACGTAGCACATACACGCGAGCCGTGCTCGCCTTCACGTCCGCACGGGACTTAGACGCTGCCAGAGACGCAGCATATTCAAAACACGGAGCCAAAGACTCCCGTCGCCGAATAACTACGCGAATCACTTGCACCCCACGGCATCCTACGGGGCCGCTGGATAGCGGACTGTTAGCGACGAAGACCGCGGTCTCCACACGGCGAGCGGACATCCATCCGCATCCCGCATAACGAACCGGCCGCTCTCCACCCTCAGGCCGTTCGAAACACTCTGCTCAGTCTTTTTATATGGTCCACTGCAAATACGAGTTGCATTATTAATTAGCGCATCGTATACCATATGTCTTAATTATCTGTCGACTGTAGGACGCAGTTTAGACATTTGTACTATTTGAGATGTCAAAGACGCGCAGTCGAATCTCTAATCCGACCGATCAATGGTATTAAAACGTTGCTATTGAAACGCCATTTCAACAAATTCTCTAGACGAATCTGATTAATGTTTCCTGTCTCAGCAGGATTATATCGGATTATATCGAGCAGGCAGTGGTGAAACAAATAGGTCGCAATTTCTTGCATGCAATTGTACATTTAATAAAATAAGTAGTTATTTTTCTACTTTTATTTATTACTCAATATAATCCGATAACTGCTGAAATCATTAATCCACTTTGTCTACAGAATTTATTGAAATGCAACGTTTTAATATTATTGATCGGTCGGATTAGAGATTGTGAACACCCTTGAATTAAAGCGGCCGTTTGTGCATTACGCAACTTGGAGAAAATTATAAAAATGAGCGAGTTTACAAGAATATTTATACTATATATTTATAATGTTATACTTTATACATACATATATTCTATATATTTAGAATGTTATTGGTCACAACTTCCAGTACATTCGCTCACTTTTGTAGTTTTCAATAAGTTGTAAGATACACAACCCACACAGCATAGAAGGTTTCAGAAAGCTTTCGGAAAGGTGTAAATGTTTCGGAAATTTTACGGAAGACTTTGTAACTTTTCTGAAGCTTTCTGTGCTGTGTGGGAATCGACTCGAAAGATTCACACGATCTTTCCCAATAGAACAGTACGTTAAATATACGTCGAGTCGACGCGAACCACGTTAAATTCATGTGGATTCCACATGAAAATCGCGTGTTCCTCGTCAGCTCAATGTGGATTTCACGCACTGTTCTACTGGGGTTAACAGACGGGTTAACAAATCAGGTAACATTTTGAGAGTTGTCAAAACATAATGTCTTTATATTGTTAAATATATAACACATTTGTGCGTGTACGAAGTGTGACGTGTGTTTTGTCCCTTTCATTACAAGCTATATATTATTTCAACTTACCAATCGTTGCTTCTGATGAGGAATAATTCAAATTCTCATTACGACCCATAGTCTCTCTCTCTACAACATTCTCCGTATAACCACGTGAGACAACTTCCTGAGATGTATCGATAGATCGATCCGTCCGATTCACTGAGTGATCTTTTGCGATCTTATAGACTTCTTCCTCTCTTCCACATGACAAACTACTCAAATTATCCGTACCTAAGTTTGGGGGATAAAATAAATTAACACTCTATTCAATGGCAATTTTTATGATACTAACAAACAATAGAATAAATAATTAACCAGTGTTTTGTATGAAGAAACGAACGTTAAAGCCGTTATCTGCGATAAGTATTTTTAGCCTTAAATCTTAAGGAATTGACCAATTATAGTTCCTCTCACAATCGACTGCAATTGTTCAATTTCTTACAGCTTAAGGCTGAAAATCCATATTGTACAGATAGAGGCTAAAAGACAATAAAAACGAGCTATTAAAAGTATTTCTACGTATATTGCCAATGTCATATCGGTTATATATAAACAATATTTTAGAGAACCGATACGCAACGTTTGCAATTTCTTATTGTACGAATACATTAAATAACAAAGCGAATGTTAATTTACCTCGCGGTAATGGACGCGAGTCTTCGTATAGTTTCGGAGATTTTCAAACACGATCATAATTTATCCTCGAACTCTGAGAATTGTTCTCCTTTGAATGTAGAACAGATGTACTTGCGTCGTCATGGACATCGTATCTGTGTTGCAGATTCTTCGCAACTGCACATTGCAACAGGTGTAAGAACATATAAATAAAAAAAGAAAAACATTTGTATATATGTGCGTGCGCGCGCGCGGTACGGTATTAAATGTCGTAGCACGTCAGAATATTAGTAGAAGCTTATATAGCGTCGTCAAGTTACGTGCATCTTCAATATCTTTAATGGAAACCTCTTTCCGTGACACATTTTTATAGTTGACCTCGTGGGCTTAGCGAAACATTATAATAAAATATTTGTTTTTTGTTCAATACTTTTCCACTTATTTCATGATAGTCACATGACAGTCACAGTAACGGCAGTATCACCGTTGAGCAAGATGTACTTGCAGACCTCATAACTTAAAAGGAATTTAACGAAAAATATTCTATTCTAGTAATAATCGCAAAGTTCTCGATGTCAGCAATAAGAATATGCACAATAAAAATGGAAATTTTCACTAAAGACAGGAAAGGTGACATTCA